ATGAAAGGCAGCAGAAAGAAGAAAAAATCTTATTATATCTGCCCCTTTTTTCAAACAATTATTTCAGACATAATAATCTTCAAGTAACAGAACAAAATGAATAACTTTCTAATTTATCTAATTCTAATACAAAACACACACTAAGCTACTTCATATACTTTTTTAACAATTCAGCTTTGATCTTTTTCTTAAATGTACACATTGACTTGGCATTTTTCACATCACTCTCTAGAACATTCCACAATCCAACTCCTTGGATTGAGGTAGACCTTCCCTTCAGACTAGTTCTGAATTTTGGTTTGACAAATATCTCTATCCCCTTAAGATTATAACAACTTTGTCTTTTAACAACATTTCTTTGGATATTTAATGGTAATGTGTTATTTTGAGACCTATACATAACTGATAAAATACTATAATCTACCAAATCATGGAACTTTAATAAGTTCAGTTGATAAAATAATGTGCTTGATGGGTGACTGTAATGCTTTCTGGTGATGATTCTTACAGCTCTTTTCTGTAAAATAAAAATAGGTTTTGTAAATGTTTTACACGCTTTCCCCCAAACATCAATGCAATAGATTAAATGTGGAACAATGATTGTGTTATACAACATGTACAGAGCTTTATCATTTAATAATTCCCTGACTTTGTATAGTACTGCAATAGATTTAGATATTTTTGTTCTTACAGAATTTATGTGATTTTTCCATGTTAGCTGTTCATCAATGATTACACCCAAAAATTTCATCTCATTAACTCTACAAATCTCAACACCCTCAATTTTAAATGGATCATCAACAGTTCTCTTTTTGTTGCTAAATATCATGTATTTAGTTTTATCTAAATTTAATGATAATTTATTAAGTTTAAACCAAGTTTGTATTTGATCAAATTCTGTTTTCATCAATTCCAACATCCGTTTTACATCTTTACCCAAACAAAAAAATGTGGTGTCATCTGCAAAAAGGACACATTTGAGGAGTCCTGATACATTCACTAAGTCATTCACATATAAAATAAATAACTTTGGTCCAAGTACAGAGCCTTGAGGAACTCCACAAGTGATATTGCACAGGTCAGATCTTACACCATTTATTTGTACAAACTGTTTCCTATCTTTTAAACAGCTAGATACCCAGTGTAATGCTGGTCCTCTTATACCATATTTATTTAATTTTTCAAGGAGAATAGTGTGGTCAATAGTATCGAATGCTTTTTTTAAATCAACAAAAATACTAACACAACACTGTTTTTGATCGACAGCAGTAGTTATTTGTTCTATTATTTCCATGAGAGCCATTGATGTAGAGTTTTTTGCTCTAAACCCATACTGACTGCTACTTAGAATGTTTTGTTTAGTAATAAATTTATCTAATCTGGTCACAAACAGTTTTTCTAGAATTTTTGAGAACTGTGGTAATAAGGATATTGGTCTATAATTATTGAACACACATTTATCACCATTCTTAAAGAGAGGAACTACCTTAGCTACTTTCATATTGTCTGGAAATATTCCTTTTGAAAATGATAAATTACAAATATATGTAAACGACTCGATAACATAACTCATTATGTCCTTTACAAACATCATATCCATGTCCACCCAGTCTTTTGATCTCTTATCTGTAAGATTTTTTACAACATTCATTATTTCTTCTTTGTCAGTTCCATTAAGAAAAATACTGTTGTCACAACTTATAACTGAATGGTTCACATTATTGTCTACTTTTGGTATTTTAGCTGCAAGGCTTGATCCAACGTTCACAAAATGATGATTAAATCCATTTACAATTTCATTTTCTTCATGGATTTCATCGTCATCCTTCAAAAAATATTGTGAAATACCTGTTTTTGCTTTATGACTTTTCAGAACACTATTTATTACTCGCCATGTAGCTTTCATATCACCATTACTTTTATTTAATAAATCACTATAATATTCCTTCTTGTGTTTCCTTATAATCCCTACTAATTTATTTTTATACTCCTTATATTTATTTTCAGCCTCTTGTGTTCTCAATTTCAAGAAACATGTATACAAATAATTATTTTTTTTACAAGCATTTCTCAACCCTTTCGTCATCCATGGTTGATCAACAACATTTCTCTTTGTATAATTATTTTGCACACAATTTTTTTCATACTATTATTAAATTTATTATGTATAGTTCTTTGTCTTTGTTTTTTCTTTGTTTTTTGCTTTTGACATCATGGACTCCAAACAGGTACAGTGGGATTTGTCTCTGGTGAAGTTTTTCATGATGTCAGATGTAGAATAACAAACCTGCATTAAACTTAATTGTTTCACTTGGAGTCGCAGCATGGTGGCGCAACTGGTAGAGCTGCTGCCTCTCAGCGCACAGGTTCCTGGTTCAAATCCTGGTCAGGGGCCTTTCTGGGTGGAGTTTGCATGTTCACTCCATGCAAGCCTGGGTTTTCTCCGGGTACTCTGGTTTCCTCCCACAGACCAAAAACATGATGTTAGGCTGATTGGTAACTCTAAATTGTCCCTAGGTGAGAGAGAGAGTGTGTGAATGGTTGTTTGTCTCTTTGTGTCCCTGTGATGGACTGGAGACCTGTCCAGGGTGTACCCTGTCCCTTGCACAATGATTGCCAAACATGGGCACCAGTGACCCAAAAATGGAAGAAACGGGTAAAAGATAATGGATGGATGGATGTTTCACTTGGACTCAAAGTTAAAAGTTCATTTCAGATTAAATGTGTGACTTTTAAGTTCATTGAACCCATAAAAGCAAGTTGTTTTCACTAAACCAAAAGAATTAAGTGAGATTAATGTAAATAAGTCCCTAAGATGAACTACAGCCCAAATACACTTTTAGAGTGTAATGAGATGGAAACAAAATGTACTTCTCACCACAAAAGATGTTTGGTTCAGCACTTTTTGTTTTTGTTGTTTTGTTTGATGTTATGTTGCAGTAAGAACACATTTATGATCCTTTTTTTATCATCACACATCACATCTTTTGGTTAGTCTACACTCAAGGTGTCTCTTGTGAAGGACTCACAGCTACTGCCAACTCACATGTCCACTCAGTGTCTCTGACTGACTGGGACATTTTTGTGTTGGCTAAGGTTGTTTAGCTGGGGGAGACATCTTGAATTGGCTTGACTCCAAACGTGAATCAATTACAGAGGAACTGTATGGAATACAGTTCAGAGTTCTTCTGAGCCAAGGATACAAACTGTTTGTAGATCTATTTGTTCAACTTGTTGGACATTAAAAACCAAATACCTGAGGGTAGAGGGAGGAGTCAAGTCAAGTCACATTTCTTCATATAGCACATTTAAAACAGTAACTGTTATCAAAGTACTTACCAAAAAAGATCACAGCATCAAATATTAATAACAACATATTACAGCAACATGAATAAAAGCATAAAAACATGAAATATAATGAGAAATATCCATCCATTATCTTTACCCGCTTATTCCATTTTGGGTCACGGGGGTCGCCGGTGTCAGGGTTTTCAAGGCAAATCAGGACAGGAGAACCCAGTTGCGCAGGCAGGACTCAAGAGGCAGATGTATAAAATAAAATAATTTTAATAATAATAAGAATAATAAATCAAAAGGCTGACATGGCAGCAAAACTTACAACATGGACTCAAGAACAGGATCACAGAGGCAGGACAGGACAGGCAATACCCAACGACGAACCGACAACGACAGAACTGACAGACAGACTTTAAATACACACAACCAGGACATGACACAGGTGACGATAATTAGACAATCAATACAGACACAAGGGAGAACAGACAGGGGGAAGGCCCACTAGATGGTGCCATCCCTACAGCCGGTGCCCATGTCCAGCAATCACTGTGCGAGGGGCGGGGTACACCCCGGACATGTCTCCAGTCCATCACAGGGACACATAGAGACAAACGAGACAAACAATCATTCACTCTCTCACTCACACCTAGGGACAATTTAGAGTTACCAATCAGTCTAACATGCATGTTTTTGGTCTGTGGGAGGAAACCGGAGTACCCGGAGAAAACCCACGCATGCAGAGAGAACATGCAAACTCCACCCAGAAAGGCCCCTGGACCGGGGTTTGAATCAAGGACCTGCTCGCTGAGAGGCAGCAGCTCTACCAGTTGCGCCACCGTGCTGCCCTAATGAGAAACAATGAAATACTAAATCAAATCACTCTGTGTTAAATGTCAGGGAGTAAAAGCAAAATGGATTAACACAATCATCAACAATGAAATACCAAATGAGATCACCCTGTGTTAAATGTCAGTGAGTACAGATGTGTTTTGAGGAGAGATTTAAAAGCAGAGACTGAGGTGGCCTGTCGAATGTTGATGGGCAGATTGTTCCAGAGTTTAGGGCCCACGACTGAAAATGCCCAATCTCCTCTGAGCTTCAGCTGGTTTTTGGTACGGCCAAAAGCATCTGGTCTGATGATCTCAAGGTCTGAGAAGGAGCATAAGGATGAAGGAGGTCAGAGAGGTATGATGGTGCAAGGCCATTAACACACTTAAATATCAACAGAAGAATCTTAAAATCAACTCTGACACGCACAGGAAGCCAGTGAAGAGAGGACAGAACTGGAGTAATGTGCTCAAACCTGCAAGTTCCTGTTAGTAGCTGAGCTGCAGCATTTTGTACGAGCTGGAGACGTGAGAGAGAGACCTGACTGACCCCAGCATAAAGTGAGTTACAGTAGTCCAGCCGGGTTGTAATAAATGCATGGACTAGTTTTTCAATGTCGGATCTGGACTGCACGGACTTGAGCTTCACTATCTGCCTTAGCTATTTATCTGCTTAGGAGGGGGTGGGGGTGTCGCAGAGGAAATGTCCCTTCCTCCTGCACACCTCACTCAGTCCTGAACCTGCTGCTGAATGCTTGTCCTGGCCTCTACTCACAAAAACATGCAGCTGTTCTCACACATTAGAGCAAGAGGGCTGAGGTATGCACAAAATGTCAATAACCATTTCTCTTCTCATCTTCTCATTTGTCTCATCAGTGTGTGCACTTCCTGCACTCTGTGTGAGCCGTGCAGCTTTTCTCATGATCCAAGTCACAACTTGATGAGAGCCAGGACTCCGCTGTCCATTCCAGAGCATGGATCCCCTGCCCCTGACCAAAACAGGTATGTTGGTACCAATTATTTAATTACTTAATACAACTTCACAAATGTCAGAGACACACTCACCGGCCACTTTATCAGGTCCACCTGTTCAATGCCTGTTAACACAAAAATCTAATCAGCCAATCACAGTGCAGCAGCTCATCGCTCTCAGCCATGTAGACATAGAGAAGATGACCGGCTGAGGTCCAAACTGTCCAAAATGTCCAAACTGTCCAAATTTCCAAACTGAGCATGAGAATGAGACAAAAGAAGATTTTAGTGACTCTGAACATGGGGTGGTTGTTGCTCTTAGATTTCAGAACCTGTTGACGGGGGGTGGATCCTGCCCCAGAAAATTTGGAATTACAGAGATGCCATTTCCTGCATTTTGGTGTCTTTTAACGTGTTAAACACCTGTAAACATTTGATTAAATTGATTAAATAAAGGTCTGTCTTGTAAAGGAGTCCTGCTGCCTTCAGGTGCTTCAATTCTCTGTTGTCCAGCTAAGGACAATCCATCCATCCATTTATTTTACATAATAAACTGGATTGTCTTGTCAACATTTTGATCGCTGTTATTTTGACAAATTAGTGCTGTTTTTTAGAAACGTGATGTGATATGAATAATACACAACAAATGTTTCACTTGTTTTTTTTTTTGTTTTTTTTTACTGTAAGCTTTTTTATTTAGTATGTCTGAAATGTTATGCACTGCGGTAATGTATGCCGGAGTTCTGACACATCAGCAGTTGTGTGTGTGCTCTGCAGAGCTGTCTGGAGACGCTCTTGTGCGTAAAACACGCACTCTCTTTATCTCTCTCTCTATTCCTATCTCCTTCTTTACCTTTTAACTCTTCTCTCACTTTTCTGCTTTGTTTTCTTCTTTGTTTTTCATCCCCATGTCCATTACATCTGAAACAAACCCAAAGCAAATTCTAATAAAATGTAATTTATATATCAAGCAGAGCATTAAGGCCAGCCGTAATGCTCTGCTTGTGTCACGTTTTCTGCCCTTCTGGTTTCTGTTCATGTTGTTCTCTTCTTCTTCTTCTTCTTCTTCTTCTTCTTCAGTTTTATTGGCGGTTGGCAAACAACTTATGGTGTGCATTACCGCCACCTACTGGTATGGAGTGTGGGTCAGAATGCTTTTTAAAATAAATAAATAAAATAAATAAATTCTATTTACTTGTGTATGTGTTGTCTGTCCTAATCATATCCTATTGATCAGCTTTGTTTTAATGAAGAACCTTATCAACATTTTTACACTTTTACTTGCTGACTCTTTCTGTAGTATGTTTGTGATATTTAATGTTTCTTTAATCTTTCTAAGTTCCTCCATCATGTGTCTTCTTTCTCTCTCATATCTCTGACAACTTAAAATCACATGCTCTATTGTTTCTGTCTCTCCACAATACTGACAATTTCCTGTTTCGTGTTTATGTAGTGTGAATAATGTGTTGTTCAGTCCAGTGTGTCCAAATCTCAGTCTTGTTATTAATCTCTCTTCTCTTCTGTTTCTCCTTCCTGTTCTCATCTCTCCCACTCTTCTTTGGATCTTATAATACCATCTTCCTTTGGTTTCTTCATTCCATTCTTTCTGCCACTTTTCCTTCAGTTTTTCTTTAACCATGCTTCTTGCTTCTGATTTGCTTGTAGTTATTATAAAGTTAACTTGTTGTGTTGTTGCTCTTTTTGCTTCCCTGTCTGCTGCTTCATTTCCTTCAACCCCAGTGTGTGCTGGTACCCACAGAAATACGACTTCCAAACCATCATCATTATTCTGAATAATGCTTGCTGGATTTCTAATAAAGTGTCTGCTCTGCTGTCTGAGTGGCTGTGCTGTAAACTTGTAAGAGTAGTGATGTAGGGTTAGTTCGCTTCAGTTAGTTCCACTACAATCAATATTTAATGACGGGTTCTCTCTTTTTCGAGCTACTTGACAGATATGTGACAGAGATACTGTGTGCGAGATGGTCTAAAAAACCAGTGACATGAGACGTTAATTTTCTTTGACCCATCAAAATGAATGTGGTCATTTATTAACAGAATCAAAGTTTAACATCAAACATTGTACACTTGATTATTCTGATTGAACGCAATAACACAGCTTAATTAATGAGCTTTACAATGAGAAATCATACGGCCATGATTTCTCACTTGCAACTGAAATACAACAGACATTTCTGAAAATATCTGGATTAATTACTGGCAAGATAGAAGAGTTTTAAAGATGGGAAATGAAGGAGTTTAAATGGAGAGGAAAAAGATGGATGAGAATGTATGTTTTGTGTAGACCAGAACAACACGCTCCTTTGAAGTGCAGTTCGCCTGCGGTACACTGGTAGTGAAGCTCAACGACTCTTTACCTTTGGCGGAGGATGAATCCGCGGCGGTCAAGAGGTCCTTGTTACGCTACCTTTCAGCGTCTCCTCAAGGTGGCTGCGACTCGGCAGAAGTCGTGAGAACTAGTTCCACAGAACAAACCTCCTCAGAAGTTATGAAGTTTTCACCGGGTGGAGTCACAGCGAGGCATCGTGGCTCCTACAGGAACTCCAGCCGAACTTCATCAGTACCAGAACTTTGGTTCAAGTGTAGAACTCCGAACTCTGGATCATCTCCCAGAACTCTGGTTCATGTCTCAGAACTTTTTCTGTTCGGTTCTGCCCTCAGAACTGTGAACTGGAACTAGGAAGTGTCGACATTTAAAGAGTTCTGTTTCTGGTTCATTTGAGAAGTCCTGATTGGTTGAAAGAACCAACAGGGGTGTGGTTTTAGTGACGTAAGAGGTTACTACAAGTCAGAAAAACAGTGAGATGTTTTTGGAACAGACAGAGAAATGTTTTGGAGCAGACAGAGAAATGTTTTGGCGAAATGACAGACCGTAGGTGCCAGCAGTTTCTTATTTCTGTCTGATAGGTTTAAAAACATGACAGTTCGTTCCAATAAACTTGTTTGCGACTGTCTCCGACTTTTGACCGACATCCCTCCTTCTCATTTCAGACAGAAGATCAAAAAATGCATAATTACTCTGTAACAGACATTAACTTGATTTCTACTTTGAATGAGGATTAAAAAATCATTAATACTGTTTCACAGTTGATTTAAAATGAGTAGTTCACTTCAACATTTAAAATGATTTGAACTAAACACCTTTTGATTATCAAGACATTTGTAAAAATAGTAATGACAATATAAAAGAGAGTGTTCTTTCAATTGATTAGTGCAGGATACAATTAGAAAGTCTCTGGATGAGCTTAATTTGTATTTCTGGACTCAAATCAATGAAATAACAGTTCCTGTCCCATGAAGGTCCTCAGGGTCAGGTTTTGACCTGAGGCTTAGTTCACTACATAAGTGATGAACTTGAATCTGAACATACTATTGTTTTTAATGGTCTGACATCTTCTATCCATTGTACTGCTAATAATACTGCTAACATTTCCCTGGTGTATACTGACAATCCATTTGTAATCCGTTTAACTTGTTTCTTATGGAACTCTGGTATGATAATTGCTATTCCTATTTTCCCTGTAGTGTCTTTTGATGCGTCTGTGTAAATCTGAACGTAACCATAATAATTATTTATATATTTCTGTACTGTATATGAGTTAAAAGTGATTTTTTTATCTTTTTTCTTTTCCATAAGTGTAAAATCTACTTTTGCAGTAGGTAGTATCCATGGTGGTATTGTTGGTAACGGTATTATTGGACTTGTTGTTAGGTTTCTTATTTGAACTTCTTGTATCTTCTGATCGATTATCCAACCAAAGCTTCCTGTTTCTCTCTTTGCTTTTTCCCAGCATGGTTTTAAAATGTCTAAAGTTGGATGATCCGGGTTATTTCCTTGTAAGTTGATCCAGTAATGTATTGCTAGCTGTGTTCTTCTCAATTCTAAAGGCATCTCTCCCATCTCTACTTTAAGTGCTGCGGTGGTCCTGAATGCTCCTGTACAGATTCTTAGTGCTTGATGTTGTATATTGTCAAGTTTCTCCAGATGTGTTCTTGCTGCTGATCTATAGATTACACTTCCATAATCTATAGTTGACCTGATCAGCCCGGTGTATATTCTCTTTAATGCTCTTCTGTCTGCTCCCCATTCATTTCCCGCCAAACATCTCATAATATTTAAGACCCTTTTACATTTATCAATAATTTTCTGAATGTGAATATTCCATATTACTTTTTCATCAAACCACATTCCCAAAAACTTTATACTCTTAACTTGTTCTATTTCTTGATTGTATAGTTTTAGTTTTTTGACTTCTGTAATTCTTTTCCGTGTAAATATCATTGTCTTTGTTTTTGTCACTGAAAATTTAAACCCCCACTTTATTGCCCATCTTTCTATTTCTTTAATAGCCTTCTGTATTTTTTCTACTGTGACTTCTATATTTCTTCCTTTTTTCCAAATTGCCCCGTCGTCTGCAAAGAGTGAACAGCCCATTCCCTCCTCTATTTCTGCAAAAACATCATTTATCATTAAAGAAAACAATAAAGGACTTATGATGCTGCCTTGTGGTGTTCCATTTTCTACCCCATATTTCTCAGAATATCCTTCTCCTATTCTAACTTGTATTGTTCTTTTTGATAAAAAGTTTTTGATCCATTTAAACATTTTCCCTGTAATACCTAATTTCTTTATTTTAATTAACAACCCTTCAACCCACAACATATCATATGCTTTTTAAACATCAAAGAACACTGCCACCACACTATCTTTATTTATCTGCACTTTTCTGATTTCATGTTCTAACCGTAACGCTGAATCATATGTATTACGCCCTTTTTGAAACCCACTTTGATATTTAGATATATATCCATTACTATTTAAATAGTATGTTAATCTCTCATGAATCATTGTTTCCATTATCTTACATATGTTTGATGTTAGTGCGATTGGTCTGTAATGTTCCGGTTCAGTGTTGTCTTTTCCTGGTTTTGCTCTGGGTATGATGACTGACTCCTTCCAGCTCTGTGGCAGTTCCCCCTCCTCCCACACTTTGTTGTACAGCTCTAAAATG